ACCACGGTTCCACTCTCCCCACTGTCTCCACGGCCCCAACCACTGCCCGACTATCCCCACTGTCCCCACTGTCCCACTGACTCCTCCGCTGTCCCACTGAGCTGTCCCACTGTTCCCACCACTGTCCCCACTGTCCCCACCACTGTCCCCACTGTACCTCTGTCCCATTGTCCCACCGCCGTCCTCGCCACCGCCTTCACCACTGTCCCCACCACCATTGTACCCTCCACTGTCCCACTGTTTCCACCTCATTCCCATTGTCCCCACACCACTGTCCCCACCACCACCGTCACCACCACTGTCCACTGTCCCCCCCTGTTCCCACCATTGTCCCCACCACTGTCCCCACCACTACCGTCCCCACCACTGTCCCACTGTCCCACTGTCCCCACCACTGTCCCGCTATCCCCTCACCACTGTCCCCACGAACACCGTCCCCACCACTGTCCGCACCCCCACTCGGTTTTCGAGGGGGGGGGGGTTCGAACCGGTAGTGACCCCCCCCGGTTTTCATGATCGAGGGGGGGGGGGGGGGGTTCGAACCGGTAGTGACCCCCCCCCCTTTTCATGATGAGCAGGGGGGGGGGGGGGGGGGGAGGGGTTCGAACCGGTAGTGACCCCCCCCCTTTTCATGATGAGGGGGGGGGGAGGGGTTCGAACCGGTAGTGACCCCCCCCGGTTTTCCGCCAGCAGCGGTAGAACACGCTCTTTCTGTGCTCCAGACGTTACAGTGGCATCACCATTCTTTTTCACCCGAAGTCATCAGGACGAGGGGGACATCATCGCAGGACGGTCGGTCCGCAGTCTGGTGTTAGCTAATACGGTGGCTGACACACTAGCAGACAAGGCCGCCGAGCTCGCTAGGATTCCAGAGGCGATTCGGACTAAAGTGAACCTCGTCGAATATAATGCTTTCCGAATTCGACTTCGGCTCCTTCGAACTACTCTCGACAGTTTTGCTGCTGCGAAGGCTTTAGCTGTGGAGGAGCGGGATAGGAAAAGCGAGGGGGTCCCTCCCCCCTGCCACCCCTCCCCGCCCCGCTGCCGCTGCTCTCGCCCCCCTCCTCTCGGCTCATAGGCTCTCGGAGTGTAAGCGTAGGTGCTTGAAGTGCTATGGGTCGGCCTCTCAGGCCACAGTGGCCGAGTGGTGGAAGTCCCCGTGTCCCGACCTTGTCAACGTTGACGGGACTATCCTTTCCCCCTCTAAGGGGGCACGGATCCATGTTGCGGGGGGCTGGCTAAACCCTTCCCACTTCCTCAACTTTCGTACTGTGCTGAATACCTGGTTTTGTGGGTGTTGCGGGGGTATCGCTGATAAGCAGCTTCGGTCCCTCGGCAAACCCTGCGCGCCCCCCACCCGCACGGGGCGTGCGTATCTCGACCGCATTTAGAATGGGCTTGCCCCAAAGGTCCTCAGCAAGGCCGAACAGCTACGTCGGCAGCCAAGGCCTTAATTTTCTCCCTGCGGTTGTCACTCATAACCTGCTGTCGCAGATGGTTCATATTCATACTCATACTCCTCCTCCTCCTCCGCCTCCTCCTCCTCCTCCTCCTCCTCGTCCCTCCTCCTCCTCCTCGTCCCTCCTCCTCCTCCTCCTCCTCCTCCTCCTCCTCCTCCTCCCTCCTCCTCCTCCTCCTCCTCCTCCTCCTCCTCCTCCTCCTCCTCCTCCTCCTCCTCCTCCTCCTCCTCCTCCTCCTCCTCCTCCTCCTCCTCCTCCTCCTCTCCTCCTCCTCCTCCTCCTCCTCCTCCTCCTCCTCCTCCTCCTCTTCCCCCCGCTTCTCTTCCTGCTCCTCTTCCTCCTCCTCCTCCTCCTCCTCCTCCTCCCTCCCTCCCTCCCTCCCTCCCTCCCACTTCCTCTCGCCTCCTCCTCCCTCCCTCCCTCTTCCATTTTCTGGCCTCCTCGCCTCCTGTTCCGTTCTCCTACGTGCGCGCTCCGAACCCCGCTCCCGCTTCTTCTCCTGTTACTTCGACGCCGCCGAAAGCATCCAAGGGCCTCGGATGGCCCCCGAGGGCCTCCAAGTGCTGCTGCTCCACCTCCTCCTTCGAGGCGCGTGGCTTGCGCTACGCCCCCCACGCGCTCGGGGCAGACAATGGATCCGCCGTGTCGGCATGAAGGGCTTCTGCGCATTTATGCGGAAGGATGGGAAAGGGGGACGAGAAGGATAAGGAGGACGAGAAAAAGGATGATGACGGCAGTTGTGGTGATGATGACGATTGCGGCACCAATGGTGATGGCATTAGTGCTTGTGTTGGTGGCACTGAAGATGGCGATTTGGATGAAGTGCTGGCGATGCCGATGTCGATGAGGATGATGGCGGTGATGGTAGTGGTGATCTTGATGGTGGTGATGACTGGGATGATGGTGTTGCTCCTGATGATGCTGATGTTGTTTTGGGACACAGGAGGGGAGTGCGCCGAACCGATCTCCCCTGGAACGAATTGGACCTCTGAATGCCGGCCTTCGCACAAGAGAGAAGCGAGCTCCTGTGTGAGCCGTTCACACCCCGCAGGGTTCGAAGAGGAGTCAGCCTCATTAGTGTCAAAGCCGCAACGGGCCTATGACCTTATCAACAATATCATGTCGCTTCCCACCAAGCCCCAACGCGCCTCGAAGTGGTAAGCGGACGGGACGATGCGCGGATCCTCGAATGCCGATGTTGGCTTCGTCACACAGTAGTGCTTGTGGACATCTCCTGGAACCTCGTGCTAGACGAAGACCAGGCCATTGCCAACCGACGGATCAACTTTCCACCCCTGGAGAGCAGGAACCTCTTTCATGGCCAACCCAAGCCCGTTGCGAATCTTACACGTGAATGTGAGCTGCTTGTTAGTCTCACCATCACGGGGGGGCTTCACGCGCAACGCTCTCTCACCCGAGTGCGCCTTGAAACCAATACCTTCTGGGCTGTTGCAACAAACGTTTCAGTGTTACGAGACGCTGCGTCTTCATAAGGAGACGAGGTAACCACTTTCTTCCAGAAGTTCTGGTGAGAGGAGGTGTCACGTACATCACCTTCTGAATTTTCTTTGAAGCGCATGAGGATCTCAAGACTGACTGTCTCCAAGGCCTTGAGAGCGAACTCATCATGGAACCAGCCGGAGTAGCTTTGGACAAGAAGTCCGGCGGGCCAAGACGGGTCGGACGTGACAGAGTAACAAGTGCCTTCTCCGATGCGTTGCCATGGCCGCCAGTGCTGCTTACACCGCTGCTGTTCACAGGAGTCCATTGAGGACCTCCTGAGGGCCTGATCAATAGCAGCAGAGTTTGCCTGCTGAGGGTCCAAACCTTGCTCCTGCGTAGACTTGACCGCCGACGCCAGCTCTGTTACCTGGGCTGAGACATGAGCCGCTGCCTCCATAGACAGCTGCATTTGGACGATGGCCTCGCACATCTTGAGGACCTGGGCCGTCAGCTCAACGATTGCGTCTGACTCGGGAGCCCTTGCGCGGCCGATGCAGAACGGAGAAAGTGATCCGATCTGGTCGGAGAAGGGGGCAAGCAAAGCAAGGGCCGTTGGCCATGGTTTCGAGTTGCTCTCCAAATTGCGACCATGGTCGAATCACCAAGGATTCTTGTTTCGACATTGAGCCAACATGGCTCGAGCCTATATTATTATTGATGATGACGATGACGATGACGATGATGACGACAACGATGACGATGATGATGATGATGTTGACGATGATGATGGAGATGATGATGATGATGCTGATGATGATGATGATGATGGAGATGATGATGGAGATGGTGATGATTATGATGATGATGATGATGAAGATGATGATGCTGGTGGTGATGACGATGATGATGATGATGATGACAATGGTGCCCGCGATTATGGTGATGATTACTACGGCGAAGACGATGGTGACGATGCTGATGATGACAATGATGACGATGCTGACGATTATTATGATGCTGCTGATGATGATGCTGATCATGATAATGGTGGTGATAATGGTGATAATGGTGATACTGGTAATGATGCTGACGATGCTGCTGCTGATGACGATGATGATGATGGCGATGATGACGATGTCGATGTGATGATGATGATGATGATGATGATGATGATGATGATGATGCTGAGGATGTTGATGCTGATGCTGATGCTAATGCTGATGACGATGACAATGACGATGATGCTGATGCTGATGCTTCTGATGCTGATGCTGCGGATGATGATGCTGCTGATGACGATGATGATGAACATGATGATGGTGATGGTGATGACGATGATGCTGATTATGATGATTATGATGCTGCTGATGATGATGCTGATGATGAGAAACGGGATGATGAGTATGATGGTAATGATGATACTGGTGATGATGATGACGATACTGCTGCTGATGACGATGATTAAGATGATGGTGATGATGACGATGACGATGATGCTGCTGATGATGATGATGCTGAGAATGTTGATGCTGATTCTGATCCTAATACTGATGACGATGACGATGGCGACGATGCTAATGCTTCTGATGCTGACGCTGATGCTGATGCTGCAGATGATGATGCTGCTGCTGACGATGATGATACAGATGATGACGATGATGATGATTATGATGATGGTGGCAATGACGATGATGACGACGACGAGGACAAGGACGAAGACTAGGACGACGACGATGATGATGCTGATGATGCTGATGATGATGCTTATGCTGACGCTGGTAATGATGCTGATGCTGCTGCTGCTGATGCTGATGATGATGCTGCTGATGATGATACGGCTGCTGCTGATGAGACTGATACTGATAATAATGCCGCTGCTGCTGATGGTAATAATGATGATGATGCTGATGATGGTGATGGTGATGGTGATGATGATGATGCTGATGATGCTGATGCTGATGCTGATGATGCTGCTGCTGATGATGATGATGGTGATGGTGATGATGATGATGATGATGATGATGATGATGATGATGATGATGATGATGATGATGATGATGATGATGATGATGGTGATGGTGATGGTGACGATGGTGAGGGAGCGGTCCCAGTGAGGCTCCACAAGGCATCCCGCAGCTTTTGTGTCGCGCACCGCGCTCCGTGCGGGTGGCGCCCAGCTTCTGCCCCCAGGCGCCCGCCCGAGGTCTCGCTCTCGCCGCTCGCCCTGCAGCGGTCACGGGGGCGGGAGGGAGGGGGTGCCGAATTCGGCCACGCGGGGCGCCCCTCGGTGGCGGCTCGCCGGTGCGGGGCAAGCGTAAGGAGGGACTGGCTCGGTGGGGGTAGCTTCGAGCTGGTATCGGCGACCCCTGGCGGGGCGGACCATCGGGCTCCTGCCGGCGCTGATTGGGCGATCGGGGGCCGGCGCGTCCCCTCCTGAACTTCTTCCCCCTCGACGTTGCCCCTGAGCCGGGGAGGGTGTCTCGGCAGCCAGGGCCGCCCCGACCCTCGTCGGGGGATCGAGGTCAGGACGGCCCCGAGGGGAAAGGCTCGCAGCTCTTCGCTGCGGCCTCCGAGCTCCGCGCGATCCGCCCGGTGGAGGCGGGCCCAGGCCGCGGGGCCCCCCCCTCAGTGCGGCGCGTCGGCGAGGCCGGCGGGCCTGGAGAGGCCGCCCGTGGGCTGGGCCCACGTCAGGCTCTGGAGAGCGGGCCCCGCGCCCACGCGCTCCTGCACGCAGCCAAGCCTGGACTGCAGCGCCGACACCACCTCCCTCAGCTGCTGCAGGGCGCTGGCCTGCGCCCTTGTCTGCAGGTCCTGCTCCACCGTGGCGGTCCGCGCCTCGGCCCTGGACAGGGCGCCCCGGAGCTGCTGGAGCTGGCTGGCGCTGGCCTTGTCGTGCAGGGACTGCTCCAGGCCCTGGACCTGCGCCTGGAGCCCGCCCAGCGACCCCTTGAGCTGCTGGATGGCGTCCGGGCCAGCCTTCTCCGCGAGCAGCTGCTCCAGGCAGCCGACCTGCGACTGCAGGCCAGCGGCGGTGCTCTTGAGCTGGCCGAGCTGGGCGGCGTCGGCCTTCTCCTGCAGCGCCTGGTCCACAGCCACGGCCCGCTTCTCCACGGCCGCGACGGCGCCACGAAGCTGCTGCAGCTGCGCCCCGGGCGCCTTGGCCTGCAACTCCCGCTCCACGTCTGCGAGCCGGCCCTCCACGGAGGCCACGACAGCGGTGAGCTGCTGCTGTTGGGCCTGCGCGTAGGCCCCCGCCTGCTCGGCGCCGCTCGCGGCCCCAGCGCGGGTCTGTATCGCGTGCTCGATGTTCGCGACCTGCTGGCGGAGGTTCGCCATCGCGCCGTCCAGGTGCTGGCCGCCGCCGCGCTCGCCGCCGCGGGGCCCGCGCATGACGGCATCCTGGAGCTGCTGCACGTCGCGGCTGTCGGCCTTCTGCTTCCAGCCCTGCTCCAGCCTCGACACCTTGGCCTGCAGGCCCGACACTTCCGCCGCGAGCTTCGCCTGTTGCGCGTCGACCTTCTCCTGCAGTGCCCGCTCCAGGCCTGCAGTGTGCGACTGCAGATTCGCCAGCGTGCCCCGCAGGCCCTGCATCGTCTCGAGGCCAGCCTTCTCGCGGACAGCATGCGCCACCTCGCGGAACTCGGACTGCAGTGCGGCCACGGTGGCACGCAGCGACGGGTCGTCGCCGCGCCTGGCCTGCGATGCCTGCTCCACGCGCGACAGGTCGGCCTGGACCGAGGCGAGCACAGCGCGCAGCTGCCCCGCCTTCTCCTCCACGGCCTGCTCGATGCTGTGCAGATGCGTGCAGACGCTTGCGACGGTGGACTCCGCTTTCTGCGCCCGCTCGCTGGCGAGGGCGGCCCCCTTCTCCGCCCTCTCCGCGGCGGCCAGGAGCGACTCCTGACGGATCTGGCCGCTCAGCTGCCGGTCCTTCGCCGCGACTGCGGCCTGGGCCCGAAGGCCCTCCACGTCTGCGCGGAGTCGCCCCAGCTCCTCCGCGTCCGCACGGGCCCGGGCGGCCTGCTCGCCCGTCTCGCGGGCCCTCGCCCCGGCCTCGGAGGCAGCGGCGCCCAGCTCCTGCATGCGAGCGGAGACCTCGCCAGCGAAGGCCTCGAGCTGCTCCAGCCCCTCCCGCGCGTCCGCGCGGGCCCGGGCCGCCTGCTCGCTGGCCTCGCGGGCCCTCGCCCGGGCGTCGGAGGCCGCGGCGCCCAGCTCTTTCACGCGGCCCGAGATCTCGCCGACGGCGGCCGCCAGCTCGCTCGCTCGCTCCTCGGCCGCCTGCGCCGCCTCGTGCGCCCTGGTGGCCCTGCTGTCCAGCTGGGAGATCGATCCGGCCATCCGCTCCAGGTCGGCGGCGCCCGCCGCGCGCTCGAGCGCCGGCACGCGGGCGCGCAGCTCCGCCACGGCGACGCCGAGCTGCTGCAGGCCGTCTGGGGAGTGGCCCGCCAGGGCCTGGTCGATCAGCTGCCGCACCAGGCCCTCGGAGGCCTTCTCCGCCAGGGCGCGCCCGAGCTCGTCCACCTGCTGCTGGACCTGGAGGGACAAACCACTGCAGAAGCATAAACTGCTGGAGGCCCGCGCGGGTTTACTGGATCTG